CAAGTTTTGTGCAAAAACGCATGATCGCTCCGGCTCGCCTGGTGCGTTCCAGCCTACGTTTTTTACTGCAGTAGCCTGCCACTGCTTCTATTATCCATCCCTCACCTTTGATTGGCCCCAACGAACAGCTGGTGATGCTCATTGGCGATCTTCACCGTATCTTTCTTCTCTTTCTGTAGTTTTCTGACTTCCTCATTTTTTCTGCTTAGCTCCTCACGCAGCTGCTCTTCCACCTGCGTCAGCTCGCTTAAATAGTATGTCCCGTTATCAGCGAAAATGAATCAACTTTCACAGCGCTTACAGCACTTTAATCTGCTGTGAATCAAATTTTTACTCAGAATCAACGATTTTCTGATACGTCGAGTTCTATTTCTGTTAGCTCTAGCACTACCACCTGTTCAAAGTATCAATGTACAGTATCCCTGCTGCGAGTAATTTTTAAACAATTTTTTTTTTTTTTTGAATGGCGTTTTACTGAACTGATGGGGACCATTCGCAGAATAAAAAATTCCTTCTTAGATTTTCGATTCAAATTTGTGTTTTAACTACTTCGCTTACTTCTTGAAAACTCTTCACTCAAGGTTTTAACTTATCCTTGATTTTATATCTCTCGAGAGCATCAGTAGCTGTGCATTTACACAGCAGCGTGTGTAATTTGAGAAATATACCTCTGGGGCTCAGGAACTAGTGACTCATTATAGTTGAGTCTCATGGCTTTCAGTGCAAGGTCCAGCTGATCATATTTCGCCTGGAGCTTCTTGTAGGCTTGATCTTTCTCCAGGCATACACTGTCTAGATAGCTCGACCTGAAGTCGTTCCTTATCAGTGACCAGCTTATACCGTTGACGCGCAATCACAAGAAGTTGCCAGGTTACCTCTCCCCTCCCCCTTCTGTCCTTTCCTTCATCTTGCTTATCTTTTACCAAATTGGATACCACTGCAACGTTCGGCATTTTGAAATATTTTTAGAATAAAATTATGCACTGCATTGCTAGTTTTGATAATTTTTTCAATAAAGATGAAAAGCCTGGATATTCGAGTAAGAGTCGCACAGTTATGTTTTTACTTCCAGGAGGCTAAGAAGGCACCTGTTTCTGGCTCCCTCTAGCCATGCTTTATGTTCGCCAAGATTC